CATGCGGACATTGGAAAACGCGCACCAGCTTCGTGTATGTTGGCGTTGTGGAAAAGCGTTTTTGTGTTGTTAATGACAAAAATGGTACATTTCATAATACAAAAATCATGGTACTAGTGGACTAGTAGCCCACCCATTATGCTTGCTTCTTACGTACATTCTGCTACTTTTTATATGCATATGTTACTGTATTGCATTGTTTTCCTGTTTCCGTTTGCTTTTAATACACTGCTGCAAATTTATGATAACACGTTATGTGTGCATATATGTGTAAGATATGTGTGCGATGTATGCATATACATATAAATATATATGTATATTTACACAGATAATGACATCTTTTGCACACATTTCACATTTTCTCATTTCCTTTTAAAGAAAACGAAAAAAAAAAAAAAAAAATTGAAAAAAAGTAAAACCACTCTAGTATATGTGTGTATGTGCAGGTTTTGAAGATTCCTTCACATAGAGAGATATTTATCAAAGTTCATGGCTAGAAAGCCTTTCGACTTCATTGAGTTCCAGCTTTGTTCTGACGTGTTAAATGTGTTTTTATCAAGTAGAGCATTGAAAAACGTGACTTTCAATGATTTCATGCTTCTTAGTCAGATATATGCAGGTTTGAATAAGTTTTAGTTCCTTCCTATTGTATTCAATCTTTTTTTTTTAAGAGTATATTCTTTAAAAGTTTTCAATTTTCGTCGTTATCGTTGCCTTTATTCTTGTTGTTGCTGGTTTGCTACCGTAAGCATTTGTCAAAGGATGTAATTATTTTATGCTTCAGGATACAAATGTCACATTGATGATGATGATGATAATAATGATGATGATGATGATGATGACTATGTTGAGATATATACACACCGCATCAATACAATGTTAAAAAGAACGCGTTTGCTTTCATATTTAGTCGTTGTCTTGTCATATTTTTCTTTTATACCCGCATGCATACATACATGCATACATACTAAGTTACATACACAAATGTATGTAATATTATGTTGTGCTTTTGTTTTTTTCTTATTCTCTCTTATTCTCTCGCTTGAATTTTCTTATCAGGAAAATAGGTGGAAAATGATTTGTTTGTGTTGCTTGCTTTGCTCCTCTTTTTCTAAAATTACATGAGTCAGACAAACGTCGACGAGACATGGGGGAGAGAGAAGGGCAAAGAGAGATTGCTCGTAAAAGAGTGCGAGTTATCGCAATAATAATCAGAACAAAGTGTTATATAAAAATATTGTTAACGAATCTGTAAAATCGAGATTTGTACGCTCATACGCCCCTTAAGCTGTTATTAATGTAATACATGTGAGTTGACAATAAAATAGATAAAGTAAAGCATATAAACATACAAAGTTGATTGAGATAGATACGTTTCTTTCTATCTTTATTTATTGCTGGGCTTGATTTCCGAAATCTTAAATCCATTAAATAAAACTTAAATTCGTTGAAGTTTATAGCATTTTCATGTGCAAGTTTGATAGATAAAAGCGAAATAGCTAAACTTACACACTTCATGGACTTTAATCCAATCATCCAAATATCCTATCGACACATTATAGATAATAGCGAAATAGCTAAACTTATGCACTTCATAGGTCCTCTGAAGCGTATTTCTAGAAGAAACAAATCTATTATTTCTTCATAGTTCGGCAATAGGTGTAAAAATATTATTTACAATGTTATTGCTGACTATTACCTATAGAATCGTTGTGATGACTATTTTTCTCTCTAACTTGCTCACACTTGTTAAAAGCTGATGATGATTTCTTGCATAGGATTGAACATCAAATGCAAATAAATAGGAAAAACAAAAAGTTTTTCATTTAAAAATGATTCATAAGGGTTGCCTTAAATACAAGAACAAGATTCGAAATGCCTTCATATCCAACATGAAAGCTCGAACCGAAACAAAAGACTTTATAGTATCTTGGTTGATCAAATTCTAAAAATTTTTGACTATATTTGCCCTAGCAGGCAGAGGGTAACAACCCAACCTCAAGTGTGGTGGAGTTTTCAGTAAACTCGATAGCTTTAGATGCTAGCGCTTCAAGACTTCAGTTTTACAATTCATATCTCCGAATAAATAATAATAATAATAACGTTGTAGTGTGATAAGTAAGCTCGATACTTTCTAATTAATTCGTTAATTCGTTGACGTAAAGTGAAGGACGTGAAGAAGAAGAAAACGATTGATAAATGCGGATATTATTTATTTGTCGAAAACAAGAACAGGTGACATTTTAATCTAACTTTATTTTATATATAAAGTATGTCATGATATATGTTGATTTGGACAAAGTAACTCGCTCAGTTCGCCGATATGCTCGTGGAACCCTATTAACAGGTGTCAGGTATCTGAGGTAGTTAAGCATAACAAGTTTAATTTAGTTTAAATTTCTTCTGACATTAAATCGGACTTTTTCTATACGCAGCTTAGCTCAAAGCGATCATAAGACATCATCAAATATTATACTATGTCGAAATTCGGGTTTTCACTCCGTATATAAACAAACACGCGCGACCAATTACGGGGGAATCCTGGATTTACTTTTCTCTCTTAGCAGTGGCAGAGTACAAGAGAAAACGGACACAAATTGCAACTTTCTGAGAAATTAAGTCTATCTTCTGTATGCGTATACCAATCGTAGAAATCAAAATGAATTAGGGATTCGTGTTCATAGATACTCCAAGTAGATAAAATACATATTCTCTGTATTCACTACATATCTATATTCCGAGTATACTTTACGTAGGAATTTAACTGAAATATATTCGAGGTACTTTTCAATTTTCTTGTGGTCAATGAACTGTTTGGTCTTAGATGGAAAATCTAATAAAAATAATGTTTAGGCCTTCAAGCAAATAAAGGCCTTAGGCTGTAATATGAGGAAAGCTTGACATACTTACAATCCTCATCTTTAAGAGGCGAAGAGCTGCGAGCAGGGTAGGGGTGGAGGAGTAGAACTCTTGTTGTTGCATTCACGAATTGTGATCAAGTACAAAGTAAATGTATGCGCGCCCGCCCAACAAGAGAAGCTTTGCGAAAAAAAAACCAGCACAAAGTCTACCCACATACACACTTACATGTGCAGAAACATAATAAGTAACCACAATAGGCCGTGATAACATATATATATGCATACATAAATAAGTGAGCAGGTATATGAACTCATCCAGGTATATGAAGCCATGGACATGTAAATAGCACTGACAAAACACATAGATTTACTAAATAATAACAAAATGCGAAAATATATTTTTATTTTAAAATATAATTTGAAATATATAGAAAAAATTGTAGAATGTGCAATTAATTGCAAAAAAATAATGAATACACTAAGCATAATAGCAACTGTACGAAAGGTCTTTTCACCTAAAATTACCACAAGGTTTACTACGTGAAAAATATTGATATAAAGTCTCATAACCAAGTAGGTTAATTGCTTTCTTTTCCATCAATTACCCAACATTCCTGACCAATGCTTTCGATAACCCTTTAACATGTCTTGTTCGATATGCAACACCAAACTTCTTTGATAGCTTCCAAAAATTCATTGTTGTTTTTTTACATTCTTCACCGAAGGTTCAACGAGATTCTCTTCGTTTTCTAAGCGCCGGCCTTTCCCAAAATTTTAATATTTCCTAATAATAAGGAGTCATCTATAATCCTTACCAAACGGGTTAGGCCGTTAGCGTGTGTTAAAAATTAATTTTTTGACAGAGTGTCGAAAGTATAAATATAAGAATCTGTCCATTTTGCCTTTTGTCTTTCCAATGGGTCTTCCAAATGCAAAGTGCAACAAATTATTTGACGTTGGACACGCGTTGTGGTATCTGCGACGACCCTTTTGTTTTTTTTCTGGTCGTTTCGTAATACTTTTTTGCCAGTATGTTGACTGGGATAAAGGACAAACATTTAATGTATTTTTTACGAAGGAGATCGCTTGCCGCCTATCCATAAAAATACTACACTACTACATTTAGGCGCCTCTTTGTCAGTCTACCCGGCACATTGTAAGCAAATCGGTCATTGATTCGTTGGTAATTGGTATGTACGACTTATATTGTTCGGTGTTGCGTGTGTAGACCATGACCTCGGCAAGTGGAGCATTAGCTTTGCTTTCATTCTTAACGGAATCGTACTTAACTTTTCCGGATCACTTTAATGGTGCAACCAGCGCAGCCATTTTTTTCTTTCTTGGAACATATAATACAATTCACGATATATATTGTACTTTTCAGCATTGCAATGAACCACATGTTCTAACAACACTCCAAACCAATTTGGATTGTGAAATAATGAAAATGATCTTGATTGAAAACATGTAAAAGCGTTACTCTGTAACACGCCCTAACCCTATTCATGTAACGACATTTCAAAGGAAGATTTTAAGTAGGAAGTGGTCAAAAAAATCCCCTGATTCGAACCATTTGTGTTCGTTCTTGTGCTAAAATACACCAATGTACCAAACTTGTTCCATATACCTGAAAAATAACGACATGTAGATTGGATCCAAACGAACAAAGATATACGGGCGGAATAACTTTGTGAATCGATCAGTATAATAAAAGACGGATCTATAACCAATCTTTCTGGGCGTTGCATCAATTCGCGCGTTAACTTAATATACTCCTGCAACACAGATGTTGTAGGATACAATTATTTTTATATTTTATAACTGAGTTTAGCATCCGTCGTATTAACCGACAAAATGAGAAAGAATAAAAAAATGATCAAACAACTTTTCTAAAACAGTATTTGTTCGTATCACAGCATGGCTAAGAATAAAATTCTTTAGTTATATAATTCAAAAATGTTTATTAAAGTTTCTCGCGGTAGTTTTTAATGTGTCCAGGGCTGTACGTTTATTTATAAATGATAAAAATCCCATAACTATGTGTGTAAGTAATAAAGCTGTTATTTATGCAAGTTAAATAAATAAATAATAAAGGAAAAAAAAAGGAGAAAAGTTTTCTATAAAAATATTTTTGCTTACTTTTACAATTACACAGCTCAACCGCAAAACAACTCGACATCAACGTATAAGTGTCAACGTTGACGATTATGATGTTGTTGACGTTCGTTTGATATACACTGCTTCATTTACACGCACACCCGCAAACCCTTTCGCTCGCACAATCGCATTCGTTAATGGCAACAAAAACACAAGAACAACTCTCACAATTAAACAGACATACAGCTAGTCAGTTTGTCAGTTAGTTATTTGGTTAGACAATCAGTCAGTCAGTCAGTCAGTCAGTCGATCAGTTTGTTTGACTTATTTCTTTATGCGCATATGAAATTGAGTGTGTGGTTCTATAAACACCCGCTTATGCGAAATGTGTGTGCACTTGAACTGTTATAGCTATGTATATTTCAACTTATTGTTTTAATATCCCGATGTAGTTGAGGGCGTGGTGCCGCATAACACTTTTTTATTTTACTCTTTTGCTGCCATCTTCTACCTTAGGAAACTGTCACATATGGTTGAAAGACACAAAGTTATCATTTGTTTGTTTTGTTTACTTTTACTGTAACACATAAAAACCGAAAGAATATCATAAAAAAAAAATAAAAAAAAGAAAATAAATAAATAAATAAAAAATAAATAGATAAACTTAAAAAAAGGAGAAAGAAATGACAAACTTTTACAAATTATTACAGCACTGAGTGGTTTTTATGTCTGTACTCTTAATTTTTTGTTTATCTTTTCGCTTTTTTTTTTCTTTTTAATTTTATTTAACGTATGCGTTGGTATCACCAACGGCAACGACAACATTCATTTATTTAACATTACTCAAGGTAAACGCAACTGGTAGGCGCTGGTTGTGTATATATCACAACACAATTTTTCTTATTGCGCGCACACTCACTCACTCACTCACTCACTTACTCCGGTACTGTTGGGTCAGTAATTTACACAAACATGCATACATACATGCATATTTTACATTCCCATACACACTTGCACTCACTCATACAAAGCGTTCAATTAGCACGATTATCGCAGTTATGAATTTAATACCATTTATTGCTTTTGCCCGTGAACACGACGTCAATTTGTGGGTTTCCTCTTTCCTTCAAATATTGGTGATTTTTGTTGATTAAAAATAAAAACACAAAAATAAATTGGAAATTTTTACTTGATATGTATCTGTTTGTGATGTTTTCTGTTTTTTTTTTTTTGTCTTTTTTTTACTTTATTTCATTATTTTGGTTTAATTCTTAATGTTCGCGCTTCGTTACCAAAGCCACCACCACCGCACGAGACTCAAGAGAATACTGACTGAAACTAACAGACTGTTGAGCTGAAATGACTGACAGAGTGACTGGCATGGCGTGGCGAAGCTGGCTGATGGTGTTGTTAGTAACTAGTAGTAGTAATAGTGATGGTGGCGGCTGTTTTCGGGCTTGTTCGGGTAGGACAGTGCCATGAGTAAGGGTTAACATTAAATATGCGCAAGAAACCTCTTTGGGGGGACTATAACAGCAACAATACCAACAAAACTGCAACTACATCTACAACTATAATAACTAAAGTCATATCTAATGGCCCAACATTAAACGAGACGAAGAGAACACCACTGAGATTTTTTGTTTTGTTTGTGTTTTTTTTTGTCTTACTCAACAATAACGCGGAGAGATGATGCTGTGCACTGTTTCTGCTGTCATTGGGCCAAGGAGGCGAAGACAAAACTTTTGTTTATTAAAATTAAAACGCAAAAGAAAAAAAAACAAAACAGAGAGAAGCGAAGAAATTGAATATGTGTGAAACTACGCGGTTAATAATTTTTTTCTTCTATATATTATTTAGTTTGTTTGCTTTGTTACTTTTCTAATATACATTTGCATAAAAGTATATTTTGTATTGTAGTGTGCATGAAGCGCATGTGTATGAGATAAGATTGACATGCACATGTATTGTATGACCGAACTCATTAAGAATTGTGTGAATATTTAACGATTTGTTTACATTAGTACATCAGTTGTCTTAACAACTGGAAAAGTAATATTTATATACAAAAATACATATATTTGCCTACCCATACACCAATACAAAAAAAAACATACTCAAATGCAAATTTTTCACATTAGCAAATACATTTTGCTTTCGTGCTGCTATTGTGTTATTGCATACGGATATAAATTAAAAGCATTGGAATTTAAAGTATAATCAAGATACTAAAATGAAATAAAGAATAAAAACTTAATTTATTTCTCTTCATTATTTATTATTTGTGGATTTTCATGTGCAGGGTAAACGTTATTGATTAAAATGAAAAGGCGTTCTGTACATGGTGATGTTTATTCATTTATATGAGATAACCAAAGTCTGTCTGACAGCACCTGTATCTGCGAAATTGTAATTCAATAAAAGTTTCCAGCATTTGCACTGAAATTTTGTTTGATTGAATGAAATTTTCTTATCGAATACTGATCAGCAGTTATCGGTACCAGATGTATGAAATTACTGCGATCTAGTTTACAAAAAGTTCAATTCGCTAGCAGTTTATAGTATATGTTATGCGGCGTACTCATATATATACCTAGTGTGTTGAGGAAACGGACTATGTTTCAGCGGTCTAACCTCAATATCAAAACGTATTGTTTGGAAAAAATTGTTGAGATTTACTTTACACATGATAAACTCGAATGTAGTTGCAAAAGTTTGCCTCAGGCATAATTAACACGAGGACACTATAGCATTCAAACTTTATAATAGTTATTTCAAAAATTCGATATATATCCGGATGGATGTTGTAGCATTAATTATGTATGAAATATTATATATAATCTGATTACTCCCTTACAAAATATAGGTAATCCGACCTCAGATAGGCAATTCTGCAGCTCATTGCAGTTTATCCGTTCGTCAACATGTTAAGACCCAACGAGCAGAAAAACCCATAAATAAAATAATACATTACAATAATACACAGGTGGGTCGACGGCCTCTCGAACTGAGTATATAGATGCTGTCCCTCAGGAGCCAAAAAAAATTCTCTAAGTTTGCAACGTAGCACGTTACACTGGAATATAGTGAACCGTCTATGCGCAGAGTATGATCTCACCATGTTCAACAGTAGCTCTACAAACTATGTTCAAGCTCTCGGCATTGACATATTTGAATAGCGTAGCAACAGATATCGTTTCTACGCGCAAACAAACACACGCCACCGTACATCGCGGATGTCTAGGATAATTAAGAGCGGATGGAACAACACTTTCGTATAAAGTTTAAAAAAAATGCAAAAACTTAGTTCACGTAACAAGGCATATTAAGTAGAAATACATGTTCAAGTATTGAGAATTGTAAACAAATGTGGACGCTTATTCTCACATGGTTGAGAATTGCCAAACGAGTAGAAGTGTATGTAGTCGTCACAATGTATAAAATGCAAGCAGTAATGTAAAATTTGAAGGCATTACAACAAATTTATTGCCCAAAATGCGCTTAGAAAGAATTATTCAGAAGAATTTTTCTCTTTCCTGGGTTTACGTACCTTGTTAGTAGGCTTTTGTGGCTTATTTTGGGATAAATTTACACTTTTCTCGTTACACTTTTAAACCCATCCTTCACTACCGACTCTAAAACCAGGTGAACTAACAATGAACAATTGAACAACGTTTGTTGGTGGTGGTTATTTAAAGAAGTCTTAATTGTTATTTTGGGATGCGATAAGGCATCACGGTTGGATTATCTTTTTATTATTTTTTTTTTTTTAAATATGTAGCAGACGTATAACATAACATGACAAAAGGTGATGTTCTTGTTCTAAACTCCCTATTTTTTTGCATGTAGCAAAGTTCCTACGCACGCTTTTGTTTACTTAGGATTGCTTTGCTTTTAAAATTTTTATACCATGCGTGATGCATGGTTTAAGTGGATGTATGCTACATTTAGGAGGACTTGGATAAAGGTCCAACTTTTATTATATTAATTATATTATATTATATTGTCTTTCCATTCGCCTTTCTTGCAGTAATATTTTGAGATATTTTGTTGAAATTCGATAAAAGTATTTTGGCCCAAAGGTATTGAAAATGATTCGAATCGGACCATTTTTTCGATCACTTTCTGTATAAGAACTTATTTTGAAAAGTCGCTAGATGAATAACTCTATTAAAAGAAGTTGTGTATGGTATTTAATTGCCCCATTATAGTGTTTTTGCTTGTTTATAAATCGTTTACACAGCAATATGACCTCATAAATACCGCTTAACAACCAATTACCGCATATAGTTTATTTTAAGTATAAATGACTTAGGCTAACAGATTAACAAATATTTTCGATCGGGATCTATAATTAATTTAACATCCGTCAGAAAGTGTTTTTGAAGAAAATTTTGTCCGAACCATAGATATCCTACATCACTTCGCCTAACACAGTTATTTACAGGTTTTGTTAATAGCACACCAAAAATTGGACTTGCGAGGGCGTACTTTCCCTGAGTGCCTGCATGTTGGAGGAATCCTTATATGCGTTGGCATCCAAAAATTAGATCTACGCCATCCAAATTCGAGGAGGTGCGACTTGATATTTATAAATATATTTCTTATATAAGCTCAATTTAAAATAAAAACTCGTAGTCTTGTTAATCTTAAATCTGTAAGTGGCAACAAACAGTTAAGTAAAGCAAAGAGTATTGAAATTCCTGTTTAAATGAATTTACCTCACCAAAGTAATTGTTATGTTGAAAATTTTTCCTCTAGGCGCTCAGAAGTGTTGTATTTATGTATGGGTGGACTATGGCCAGCTGTTAAATCGATACTAATTGTGGGAATAATAACTTTGAAATGATTGACGGAATTAACACTCAAGGTCCTCATAGATAGAAAACAACAAAGCCCCTTACATCGCAAATTGATGCATAGAAGTATAAACAAATATACATTGTAAGAAGCCCCACCTTTTTTTTTGCTTTTGATAAAACAAAATCAAAATACATTTCTACATACATATCAATTAAGCCTTTTTGCATTACGTTGAAATCGTTTCAATTCTCTCTCAAAGATGCAATGATGCACTTTTTTTTGGCTTCTTTAGGTTTTTCGTGAATATTTATGTACGTTTTCAGCAACGTTTTGTCAGTCGGTCGGTTCGGAATTTTGTAAATATTAAACGTCACGCAGTGTTCAAACGTCAGTTGTCAACACGTACACACGATTGCGTTTTATGTATAGTTGTATACATATGCCATATATATACTATTGTATGCAATTTGATTGCGCCAGCTCTCACTTGTATGTCTGCGCCGCAGGAAGTTACAGCATGGAATTTCAATAAATTCGCTCACAGTTGATGTTTACTGTGAACGGAATACATGTGAAGGTATTGTAGTAACTGTAACGCCCCTACATACCCCAAACTATTTCAATCTAATACAACAAAACCGATTATTTTTTATGTGGATGCGGTTAAAAGTATATACCTACAGTTGGCATTTGTTGTTGTTTGTCGCAGTTTGTTAAGTTTAAAAAGGGGGGATTATAAATTTACGCTGTTAGTAAGAGCATTTAAGCTGAAGAATCAACAAAATTATAATTAACCCTTTTCTTTTGTATTGCTTGCCTCAGCTGCGTTGCTGCTGCTTCAATCTTATCGAAAAAAATTAAAAATTTCTAAAATAATATTGTATTTTTTTTGTTCAGCAATTAATTTTAAAATCAAACAGCATAGACCAACAATAACGTCATCATCATGAATATATAATGAACGGTGCCGATGCCGCAGTATAAACAAGGCGTAGCATTAGTAATCGTATCATATACCCGATAAGCTGATTAAAGTATAAAACGCGTGCAGTTTCAACAATTGCCAATTAACATACAATCTGTTCTTTGAATTACAGAATTGTTTTTAATAATGTTTTTTTTTTATTTTTTCGTTAGTGTTCTCTTCCTTTTGCGCTATCGTGCATAGAAAACTGCATAAATGCTCTGTAACAATCAGAGATTGTGAGAGCAACAGAGAAAAAAGCATTATTTAGTTGCATACTCTTCTCAATTTATAATATACGGTAAAAACAAAATGTCACTCTTGAACATGTACGCACAAACAGATGTACATACGATTACAAAACAAACATAAACACTTCCATTCAAAATGCACTAAATTACCAAAGAATATATGTTAATGTTAAACATTAAATTTCTTTTTATTTATATAAATTCTTTTTTATTTAAAACTTATCGCATTAGCAACGTTACGGTCGACTCATCCGGGTTATTCCGTTACCCGTCTATTCTATTAAACTCTCATTGTAAAACTAACAATTTATCAAGAAAGTATGCAAAAATAAGTAGAAAATAAAAAGTAAAAGCTTTTCAATATGTAAAATATAACATAACTTAGTTAACATGTTCGTTAACAGTGGTCTGTTATGAGGTTAACATGTTTTGTTATTATATTGGAATAACTTTTATTTGAAAATGCTTTTACGCAAACTTTTTGTTGATCGCAAAGAAAAGATTAAAAATTTCTGCTTTCGCGTTTCTAATTGGGTTTTGTTGTTTTCAATTATATATTTTAACAAGTTAGTTAAAAAAATTATACAAAATTTAACACCAATTCCATATACAGCCATCTTGCTCTAAGCAGCCGAATTTTCCTGGGTAGTAATTTAAATTACAGTATGCTTCTAGATCCATGAAAGCACAAGAACCCGCCGGGCACATATAACGATAACAATATGAAGAACATTTTGCAAAATTACTATGAGAGCATCCAGAACAATCAATAGTATCTGAAAAAATCAAGCAGTACGGGAGTGCAATATGAATAAACAATAATTATATAAGCAACTACCGTTGTTCGTAGTAAACATGTCGCAGCTGCTTTCTTGACAACTTGTTAAATTTGGATTTGGTGGCATTATCAGTAAAGGATGTCTGTAACGAATTTCAGGAGCTTTTAAATAAACGATAGATGCTGTACATATTCTGGCCTCACAAGTTCTGCTACGACGATTAAAGCAAACCCATTTTTCACCATAAAGTTTACAAATACGAGGTGTCACCACCACGCAACACTCCAAAGGCGGAGTGCTGGTGTTCCCGTTAGGCCTAGTAGTGGTGGTCGTAGAAACAGGGCGCTTGGTAGGAGTGCTTCGAGGAGTGCTTGGAGCCGTAGGCTTCACAGTAGACGGAGTTTGGCGGGGACTCGCATTAGTAGTAGCAGGAATAGGGGTAATTTTACTGATATCGTTATGATGAGCGACGTGACTTGTGCTGTTTTCGATAACGGTGTAGGGTTTATCGTATATTTTATTAATTAATACGTTATCAATTTCAATAATAGTTTCAAGGTAGCCGGGTTTTTGACAGCGTTTTCCACGCCATACCAAACCCGGTGGGCAGGCGGGATGCAAACACTGGCCCTGATAGTATTCACCCATGGTGCAAATGATTTTGCGGCATTTTTCATCTATAAAAACTGAGTCATGTGGACAACGTTTTTGTTGCCGAACTGACGTCGTAGTAATTCCTTTATCATTCAAGATCGCGTTTGTAGAATTTAATAAATGCGTACAAGGGGAAAAATAACCTAAAAAATTTATTTTTCAGTGTCTTATGCTAATATCTACAAATTTTATTTGCAACTGACCTTGTTGGCATCGGTTTGGTTGCGTTTCGACAAAATGACATAAATTCATTCTCAATTCATAGCCGGGTGGGCATTGCGGTACAATTACCTGATTTTTGATATGATCAATTCACTTAGTTAGTGCACTCATGTTTACTTAAGGCTTCCTATGGTTACTTACCGGCCACTGATTATTAATATGATTCACATTTAGAGCGATAAGCAATAAAAACAGTTTAAAATCCTTTGCCATCTGCATCTGAACGTTTTCAAAGTGAAACTGAAACGATCGATCATTTAAATAAGTTTACTTAGAGCATAGGATGGACGGAACAGAGATTTAATGATCGCATAATATGCAATTAGCTGTAAGTCGGCATAAAGAGAACGTGTTTGGGCCAAGGCCATATGGTCAGCTGATAATGATGACAGCATATAAATCCAAATCAAATTTTTCTTTTTACATTTTTCAAACACTATTTAGAAACATACAACAAGAGTGAGCGCATCAGTTGTCGATCATTTGTGTTTGATGTCGTATCGATCTGCTTATAATAATGGCATCACAAATCCGTGATTATATAAAATTGCTAATGGTAACATTGTTTCTAACGCTTCCTTGGGCAACGCGAGGTGTAAGTAATCAACTGTTGCGAGTTTTTGTTATAAAGATCTTAATGATGATACCTAGTATTTTTTAGAATTGTTCTCAGGGTTATATACAAGCTGGTAATACATGCGTTGTTCAAGATTCTAGATGTCCACAGATGCATGTATATTTCAATGGAGTTTGTAACGCTATCACTCAAAATATTTGTACGGCAAGTAAGTACAAAAGCAAAAGAAAAACTACTTTTAGGTTAGTAATTTACTTATATTTGCAGGTGAAATTTCTATCAATAACGGTTGTTGTCCAATTGCTTGCGTAACTAATTGTGTACAACAACAAACTTGTTATTGTTGTGGCATTTCAAATTATGTTAGTCCGTGTGTTCAACAAAGTACCTGTTGCACTTCAACGACTTGTGCAAATCCAACTTTCTGTCCTCCAACTTGTCATTTAAATGGTCCTTCAACAGTTAGCCCAGTTACCCCATCTCCTCCGAATGGTTCTTCGACATCGGCACGTCCGCCAACACCTACGGGAAAACCGGGCGATTGTCCCTCTGGTACGGTAAAATTTGGTGAGAAATGTCACACCTTCTACTGTCCTAAGGGTACAGTTCTTAAAAACGGGCGTTGTTTAGTCATAGAGTGTCCGGATGGTACGATTTGGACTGGATTCAGTTGCTCTCCAGTTAAGCCTATTGAGCATAATATTGTCTTTAATCACACAGTGACAAGTCACTTTAATGGGACGAAAACCGATATTGTAATAAACCGTGTAAACAACTTAACGGTGGATGCCTCGGTCACATTACAATTATCATCAAAGCATGGACATAGCGGCGACGATTATCATTATAATGATGATCGTTCTGATTGTGATGACGATAAAAGTGGTGAACTTGACGGCAGTGGGGATAAATGTGACAATGGTGATTCTCATGAGAGAGGAACAAATACTACTCAAAAGTGTTGTATAGTTCGATCGCCACGTGTTTGTGAAAAGAAAGATGGACGTTGGAGTTGCCGTAGTCGTCGTAAGTACTTATGTGGTAAGATTTGCGTTGCACCTATGGTATACTTAAAACCGCCGCGTATGCATTATCAACATCCATGGATGGTAATGCCGCCTATGTCGGCGAATTGTCAAACAGCAGGAATGTGTCCGCCGGTTAGAGGTTTGTTTGTCAACTTGCTAACCGCACTGATCAACTAAATCCAACTTATTTTTGTTTCGTTCTTTTCCTTTGCGTTTTTTTCCCATTTTTAGACTATTACGATTGTTCGGGTTGTAGTGGAGGTCATATGGAATTCTGTTCAACGTATTGTTACCGTTACAATTGCCCGTCGCATCGATGCCGCTTTTACGATCAACGACAGTATTGCTTTCATTATCCGGGTTCTTTCGGTTGTCAAGAAGCAGATGGTTGTTATGAAAGTTGGTGTTCCAATGTCATGTAGAAGGGTTGTTGTTCTAAATTGTAAAATTTTTTGTTTTATTTAATAAAACGTAAGCTTTTAGCAATCGTAATATATGCACAAATATTTATTTGGTTTGCACTTGTTTTTGAAATTTTTTATAGGCTAACACTTCCATTAGCATTATTATGATTTCATTTAACATCGCTATGTGGCTCCTAGAAGGTTAACTAAGTTTTCTGTACCGTTTGTAGCGATAAAAAGGATTTAGAATATGCGGTTTTGGTCATCGACTTATAATCTGCACCGATCTCTTTGTAGAAAAAATTAATCTTCTTACAATTGGATGTAAATGTAACCGTTCGCCAGTACTTATTAGAAGTCTGTTAATGGGCCATCAATTAGCGCTTACAGTTAAATAATCTCTTCTTCACTTGAACAGGGAATATGTGAAACAAATGTGGCGGAGCTCGCCAATGGTACAGGGGTAACAATATATGCCACTATTAATGAGCCGTAGCAATGGTATTGCCCTCATCAACCAACTAAACTTGGTTGGATGGGAAAAGTACGGTTGGCCTGATATCCTTTCCAAATGTGAAACTTATATGACCTTTGGGAAAATACATCGGAACTCCAAATGACCCATGCAGAGCTTCAGTTATTAAAGATCAGACAGAACTATTTCACCCCACTACCGGCTTTTCTTGTCACCTCCGTCCATATAATAAGACGATATAAAATTTTAAGCTGAACAATCTTGGACGGTTTCGAAGACCGTTGCAAATCTTCTAGGATGCTTCTTTCTTTTAATATCTTCTAAGTTTTTTTCTCTGAGGGCTCATAATTATTTTGCCCCTTTCCTTTACCAGCCGAGGATTTTAGCATATATTTGCAATATTTCGTATTAGTTTGTCTCTTTATTCGAAAACTTGAATCTCTTCCACAAAACCTTCAAATCGTTTAAACTGAGCTTGCATTAGGTTTTGGTCCTCAAAGCTTATATTTATAAATTTCGTACGCGACCTGTTTCACGTCCCCGTCAATGTTAGAAAATTTGGAAAGATATCGAATATTTGTTCTGGTTCTGGTTATTTTTAGCTTTTTTGCTTGGTTTACAATATCTATGAAATCATTTTAACTTAACACGTGAACGAGGCAATTGTGTCTGAAGTTTCAAAGATGATATGAACAAATCAAATAGAGGATTGTTTGGTATCAAAGAAATTGCAATTGGCAAAGTGCGAGTTTTCTATTGACCATTTTATTAAGAAATTTTGTCGCCTCCTAAGAAAACGTAATAAAACAGCAGTTGAACCAAACGGTAAAGACAAAATATTCCCAGAAAGACTTTATGCTATAAAAACGAATACGTTTCAATCGCCTAAAACTGGGAGCCCTAACGTCTTTTCTTCTTAATATCTAGATATGCAGATATTCTTTATTTCGACACAAGCACAAAAATCGAGCCAAGTAATCAATCCAATTTCAATTCAACACGAACGATGCTATCCTGAGATTTTGCACTTACTACGGCAAGTTTGCAATCATAATGTTGGTATATTTGCTCGTCATTTTTTCTACATACGGTGTAAATAACTAGAGTATATAGTGGATCGTGTTAAACCATCTACAAATTTTTATATTTCTTACGCACTTGCATGTGATTTTCACCATGTAAGCAGAGTAAAAGCTTTCATTTATCATTAATAAACATATAATAGTTGCATTAGTTCATTTAAACGGGGAAGAGGAGCTGATGTGATAACGCCCACTTTTTGTCACTTATTAAACAGACACTGCACTGGTTAGTTGGGGTGTAAAGTTCAGATAAGAGGGTTATCGGAAAAGCTTTGTTAGCTAAAGTTACGGTTCAGAACCGTTAGCGCGACGATTATCATATTAGTAGTAGACAGTTCGTCGAGCCGGAAAGTTGACATAAAAAAGTCGGTGTGAAATAATTGTGCGGCGAAAAAAATTATTATTATGGCAAATTTAGTTTGGGTTAGTGAAAATGTAATACCAGATATATTTCAAAATACATAAAAATTTATTTATCAGGTCTTCATTATAACTTCAGTTTCCAGCTTAACATTGACTCCCGCATTTGGTAAAAATGCTACTATAGTCAATGTAAAACCTTCCGAGTCTTATTTGCATCATACATTGAAAGGTATCCCTATAGTAGTGCATACTCAGGCCCAGAATTACGAGCATCCAACTTTAAGCGAATACGAAGAATGCCATCGAAATTTGGACAATTGCAAGGAAGGTTGTAAAAATGCAGCGAATCAGACTGATTGCGAAGGCAAGTGCCCAGTGTGCCCGATTCTTATAGCTGAACAGATTTTAGTTCAGGGTGTCAACGATACGGATTACAGGGCGGCGCCTACGAAACCTTTGAATACCACGAATATAATACGATTGACTAACGAAATTCACAACATCATCGATAATCAGTTGGGTAATGTGACTCACAACAGTTTGAATAATATACATATACACCAAAATGTGTCACGGGTTGGTGGAAAGTTTGGTTTCGGTTTCAATCATACGCAGCCTTGTTGCTTGGTAGTTCGTTCATCGAAAAACTGCGACAAATCAAAGTTTTCAACAGCAGCACGTTGTCACCACAAGCGTCACAGGGTCTGTGGAGAGAAATGCAAAGCACGAGTTATGTTCGCCAAACCGGTGAAGGTTTGTGAAAGGAGTGTCGACGACGATGATAATGTAAGCGAAGAACATGAAAATTGTCATCAGGCGACTAAATATGTACCGTACCACAAAAGGACTCAGTCAAGGAAATTGAAATGTTTCTATCAACCACGTTGGCCATATGTCAGTTGTCCGAATAGGGGAAGCTCTACCAGAAGTAAGAGCTGTGAACGTTGTTACCGGTTACCTTATGGACGAATTTTGTTATATGGTGTACCCGCACAATGTATAAATTGTTTTCAACGTTATTCTTATAGTCGCAGCTTTGGTGCTAGTGTGTATCCGTCCTACTATCCACCGATGATAGGTTCTTGGCCTATGATCATGAATGATAATTTTGGAGAATACGATGATGACGACGATTTTGAAGGAGTAGAAATTAAAGACGACAATTTGGTTGATGAGAAAACTAAATGCCGATTGCCGGATGGGTCGCGCATTGACGAGTGTACTGAGATAGAAGGTAGTGGTGAAGACTTCGAAATAGACAACGGTTTGCATTCTGGAAATAAACCAACGACTGATGACCCTCTCGGAAACCTACCAGAAATTCAGCTTAGTGACGATGACTATTATGATGATATGTCGCTACATACGTGGCCAGGTGCTGCACGCAGACGTCGCCATTCCTTTCATCGCTCCAAATATAGCCGTCGGCATATGAAAAATTCCTCTAACCTATAAATTAATTACTTTAGCTGGAAAGCTAGCAATTAAAATTTTTTTCTATTCAAACTTAACGTAACGATCAGATATCTCTCTGTTAATACATGCTAGCTAACATTGATGTACAAATTCCGTTAACTCTGGAAAATACACACTTTTTTGCAATTTTCTCCAAGAGCAAGTAATACGAACTTATATATGAGTTAGTATCGGATTTAACAAAGATAACTTAAACTTTTTGGGTATATAGCAAGTTCAACTAGGCGTATCATTTGCGTTGGTTGTCTAATTAAAATCCTTCAGTCCAGTCAGTAATTTGACTCCATTTTCTTCGTCCAACGAATTCTGTTCATCTAAACCGTGGGGCAAGGATCCAGGTAATATGCCCTTGAAATTGTGGAAAATAGTTCGGCCAAGAACTAATGAGTTCTCATGATTCCAATCTGTTTTTTTTCTGCATTCACTTAAACGATACCATTAGATGAAACCTTGACGGCAGTCTAAACGCGAATATGCAAGCATAAAGTTCGAACTTTGCTGAGCAAGAGTCTCTAAGCCAATGCAAAGTCGATCTAGTACGGAGACGCCGTAGGATAATTTGATATTTTGATTGATAATTTGATTTTGCGGACTTGTGGCGCAGTCTGCTTTATCCATAAGAATGCATGCAGCCGGCGTACAATATTACGATTCGTAATATGAAGTAAATACCTCCAAATGACCACCGCAGGAGAATTCAGAATAAAAAATTAATTTTTACCAGATCATATATTTAAGAGCCGGATCATTCCAATCATTAATATACAAAGACGATACATGTTTGAAAATGATGTTATGGTGATTTCTTTACAATATTGTAGGTCGTAAAGTACGTCATAGCAACGAGCAGCTATCGATTTTAACCATATACGCGACGGTTACATATTTTGTCAATTCTAAGCAAATGTCAGTCATGCACTTACCAATATATTGTTGCACGCTATTGTTCGCAGCGCTTATTTGCTGAATCACCACATGACTACGAAGAAATTCCACATTATTTGTGGAAAAAATCAAAAAAGCTACAACCGTGTAAACCGAGATTTTTGTACTTAAGAGTAGCATTTAGGCGGACTAATGATCCGATGCATACGTTGGCACCTTTTTTACTAAGCTCGTGATGGTTGTCTATGAAAAAGTGCAAGTCCAGATCAAAATACATACGGCTGATAAAAAATGAATTATGCTACAATTGTAACAAAGATTTTCTTTTGGGTGTTTATAAGTATATAAACGCATTTACTTACTAATAGAAATGACCCCGAATAAATTCATTAATTTTTTCCTCGGCCAGCGTATGTAAATTCTGCAATTCATATATAATCCGAGGTTTGTTGACATACAAATGGTGAGAGGTGATTCGCTTTACGACCGATAATATGCAATATAGTAAAAATTAAAAAGCTAACTGTTCCAATCAATAATGGAAATGAATTGAATATTTTATAGCCTTCCCGTTTACAAAAATTTGCAGGCACAGAAAGTCCTCCTTTTTCCACTTCAGTACGAGCTAGATACTTTTTTATACGTCCACCTATCAAATTTCTTAACTTTCCCTTCGATAACGCTCAGCGGCATTTAAATGCTATTCACTTTATTAGAGAGTTTACGTGTTAGTTTGTAGGTCCAAACTAAAGCTGAACCGGCGCAACCATTGGGAAAAAACTTCAACTAAAAAGAAAACTGAGGTAATTAATTAAAGGGTTAATCATTTCAATAGCAATGATTCCGTCGCACTTTTATTATAGGCATTGCTATCATTGTTCTTCAAACACAATGACTTTTGACTGCTAAATATGTTATGGAGTGGGCGAGCGCTCGGCAGCGTGTCCAGCAAGTATTATAGTTATGCTAATTAGTCATTGATTAAATTTGATTTTTATTTCAGGCTGATAAGCGACAAGAGATTTGTAAATAATGAAACTGAACTGAAGTAACGGTTCATCGATGCGTGATGAATATAAGCCTACAATTAAGTAAGTGACAACTGATAAGAAATGATTAAAAAATTTCTATAGAGATTAAGGGCTGCTAACTTGCAAACCAAAGAAAAAAAAAATGATTTTGTAATAAAAAATGAACGCAAAGTAATAAAATGAAAATAAATTTATGCAGCGACCATCATTACTCGAAAAACAAAAAGGGAAGTGAAATATTTGTCACGATTTTTTCTTCTTCTTCTTTTAAATTATTTGGCGGCTAATTTAACTTCAATATTACACTACTAAGTTCATAGTTTATGATGGTTTAATGCACTCGTGGTGATAAGCTTTTCTCTCTGGGTGTTGTTTGCTTAAATATTGTGCAGACAAATGTTAATTCAGAGGACAGATATACACATTCAAAAAAAAAAAAACGCTTTTTATCAGTTGTAAAGTGCAATTAGAATGTTACGCATATATAACATTACATGTTTATTTACGAAAATTTATGATTGTAAAGAATTTTTATATATATTTTGTTTCTATATTTATATTTTGTTTTGAAAACAAAAGATTACGAAACTGAAATGTAAGCAACGATGAATTCAATAGTGGAATTTTGCGAAAAGATTAACTCGTTAGTGCTGATAAGTTAAGTATTCAATTATCTGCTCTCTCTCTCTCTCTCTCTCTCTCTCTCTTTCTTTCTTTCTTTCTTTCTTTCTCTCTCCCTCTCTCTCTCTCTGTCTCTGCAAAAAGCGAGATAAATTACGATAGCTCATATCTAAACAGCAATGACAGCAGAATTACTTGCAATTTTTTTGCTTTAAATTACCCAATTGCATTCTCTTCTGCTCCAGATACTATTTCATATTCAAAAGCATCGTTTGCAAACTATGTTTGGTACACGTACTGCCTATTGGTTGTTCGTTTGAGATTTTCGAAATTAGCGATTCCGAATTTAAATCGCAGCGTTTGCGAAAGATGTTAGTTTATAATGAACAATCGGGCTGGAGGATAGAGTGACTGTTTTCAGCATATTACTTTCTTCCTTCACCCTTTATAGTGTAGGATATATTAAAATTGTGCGTACGTATGTAATAATCCAGCTGGGCTTGAGACAGACCCACTTTTTATTGTACCGACGGGTTCAGAATTTTTTTGTGAATCATTTCTGGATCGATCTAAGCCTGGCTGGGTCCATTGCATTTTTGCCTATGTAAATTTTTGAGATATTGTGATGAAATTTGATAGACTGACGTGTTTTGATCCAAGGATGAACGCTATTGGAAATGTTCGGATCAGCCCCCTTTTTCGACCACTCCCGATATTTGAAAAGTCGTTATGTGGTAAAGAGTTTTTCGACAAAACTCGCTGCGTAACAGTATTTTGAAATTTAAAAGTGGTGTGTGAAATTTGTTTCGGCAGGGGAAACTTTTTGAACCATCTCACATATAACCGTTCTTATGAAAACAGAGACTTTATATGATAAAAAGGTGCAATTTTCAATTTTTCGTGCTAACCGTTAGTTCATAAAAGTAAATTGCCAAAGAAATTAACCATTGGTCCAGTAGCGACAAGCCAAAGAAGTTAACAGTAGGGAATTTCGATCGCATAGGCGTTTTTAGACCCTAACTTACATAAGAGATATCATGAAAAGCAAAATTTTACATGGAGATATGGAGTCATTTCTTTCTACGATGAAAATTGAAAAATAATAAGATTTTTTGGGGACTGAATTAAGTTTGGTACATTTAAATCACTGATGTCGTCATATGATGTTTCGGCGTCTTCCAATCTGTGGACTTTCATGAAAAGTGTACCTTTGTATGAAAATAATGATTAATTTTTGATGTGTTGTTACCAAAACGAGCCAAGAAAGGTGCTAGGTGGATTGGGGTAGCGTATTCAATGGACGATCTTTCTCGACTATAACATTTTTATTTGTTGTAATTTAATGAATCTAGGAAGATCAAAATCGAGCTTTATTTAGAAAAATTTAAAAACCATTTGAACGTTTGAATCTATTTCAAATTGCACTTTGGGAGTTGCTCTATCAGCCAATCATTTTTCCAATATTTGTACCATCATCATCGGGGTCTCTTCAACAGGACGTGTTCTTCAGTAACACCAAAAGAAAATATCTAATGAAAAACGAAAAACGTATATGTATATTAAAAGAAGAACAGTCTAGTCGAGCGAAGTGGACTTTTAGATACCCCACATCGATTGTTCATTCGTTTTAGTAGTAACCCAATAGTTTCACATTATTTCCATTCAAAGGCATACTTTTCATGACAATCTACATATTTAAGGAGTCCTTACGTGCGATGATATCCACAAAACAGGCCTCCGTTGTCCGAATTCGATAAGGTTGATTTATTATTGTGAACTGATGAAATATTAAAAATTGTACCGCTTTACTATATAAAGGTTTACTTTTCATAGGAACGGTTATATGTATCAGACTTCAAAAAGTTGCATTCTTTTTTTTCATATAATGGTGCATTACATGGGGAGAGGTCGAAAAGTGGACCGATCCAAGTCATTTTCAAAAGCGTTTGGTCAAATTTCATTACAATATCTAAAAAATTGCGACCTTCACCTTGAACAAAAATTTGAATGGGCGGATATCAGACGGGCAGAGACGCTTAGGTCGATTTAGAAAATGATTCTGAAACATCGTTCCTCTTAAGCCCTTCTGCGTGTTACCATAAGTGGTATGGAATGTAAAAAGCAGTGAAAAAACGCACCTATGTTAAAAGCCCGATGTCGTGCAAAAATTTGTATGATCCGCAATTATTAGGGATTAGTAACAATATAATCCTAACTGCGTAAATTTCTATCATTTTTTATTTGACTTGTATACAGCAAATCCGGTAAGCAAGATATTTGTGGAGTAGATAATGTTTATGAGAAACTGCGAGCCCTTTATAAGCTCAAAACTCTTTCTTAGACGTCTCTCAAATACTGTAAGAAAAACTTAAAAAAAGAAGTTTTAAACACAAATGGAAATACTGAAAAATTCGAATCTCAAATTTTCGAAAGCAATTAATGAACAAATTAGCATTCGCTGAAACAAATGCTTTCACATCTACATCTAAACTATCATTTGAATAATAGATTGCATCCGTCGCCGTCTAGTTATCCTTTACTTTGATTAATGACTCATTAGCGGATCGTTTCTTTCCAAAATATTAAAGCATAGGTGAATTTTTCGATTTTATATGAAAAAAAAAAAAAAAACGCTTTGCTCTTTCTTTCTTATTGTATGGCCGGCAGTGAGCTATGTTCTGAATAACATATATACACCATTTCTTTTTTTAAAAAGTACAAGCAGCAAGTATGCTTCACAAACACAAGAAACAGTGTGCTATAATTCTTACATTGAGTAATTTCTTTTGTGATTAGTAATACTCTGATTATCTGTTACTATATAACATTATGATTATAATGCATTTTTATGTATTATTTGTAATTTGCAGCCTATATTACTTACTTACTTATAAAGCTCAAAAATTATTTGCTTGTTCTTATTTGGCAGCAGCAAGCACCAATATGTTACATAGTAGGTAATGTGAGTAGCCGAGTCAATTCTCAGTCCAGAGTTTACTTTGGTCATTGTTATAGAGAGTGCGTAGTTTCTAATAGCATAAGACTAATCGATTGAGCAGACATCTACTAAATTGCGGCCACCGCCCACCTTCTTATTTCTTCGTTTCTTTCTGTTGTTTCAGGCCGTCACGATGGTACGAGAATAGGGGAAATATCCTGAATGAATTATATTAAAAAAAAAAAAAAAAGTTATATATATAAAATAAGTGATAATTTTTAAGCGATTTTCTTTCTTATAGAATTCCTAAAATATGGCTAGTACTTGACAAATGAATGTCCTTAAAAATGTGAAAACAAAGATAGGTACTATGTAGATTCACTGAAATCTGTTGAAACGCAAGACCTGCCCTTTGCCCTTAGGAAATTAGGTTGGGACTCGCTTGACTCTTTGCTTCCTTATCAAATTAGATTGTTTCTGTTAATCTTACCATCATTTGAGAAACTTAGTTTTGTCCTTGCTGTTTTCTTCTTCATTAAGTTAATAAACCATACTATCAATTCGTGGACATTGCTTGGTGAGATAAGCTGTCCGGAACTGTTTCCCTAGGAACTTCGCTCTCATAAAGCTTAGTCAATGTAGATATTATTACGAACTTTTCAGCTCGCCTAGGGCCCTTTACAAAAATCTAATCTCACTATCGGATTTCATAAATTCTATCAAATTAACTCTCCTAAGTACGTGGACTTTGCCTACGTCGCATCTAAATGAACTTCTAATCTTGATAAGACTCGAAAATTGAACTATATTTATTCACTATTATCGGTTGCCAAGCTTTTGCATGTTTGCAACGGCTTAAGGGTTCACTTCCAACTCGGGTTTATATCGGCTGCGGGTATGCCTCTATTCTGGATGTGTATATGCTCTTTTGTTTTTCTTTCTCATGAGTGTTTATGTATCTATCAGATGCCTGCATATATTTTTACCACATTTTTGCATTGCAATAGTATATTCTTGACAACACTTGCACCGTGTGGCCGAGCGCTCTCATGCAAGAGGATGATTGGTCGTTTTTTAACCGATATTACTAGTCATTTTTGCGGAAATACAGCGTTTAGTTTGTTCAATTGATGTCAGTAGACTGTAGCAACAATTTCATTCAGACATTGCAGCTTCTTGATCCCGCTATATGCCCAGCAAAACTTTGCGGCCACGAAAATTCCGCTTTGATGTCTATGACTAATGATTTTTTGCGCTTGAAATTGTGATAGCAGACCCGCTTTTCATCGCCTGTACACCATAGAAAACTGTTGGTTTTTGCCTAACAAGCAGTGAATCTGCGATGTGGAAACGGGTCGAAGTAGCATCAATTCCTATGGTAGTCATTTTCCCTCCTTTTGAATCTTTCCCGTCGCATGTAAACGTCTACAAACAGCTGATACATCAACTGCTAAGCTGTTCGAAAATTTTGAGCTAGTCCTTCGTCCAATAAGTCTTCGAAAATGCAGCTTTTAGCATCCCATAACTAGCGTCTGTAACGAGTCCAAAAAAAAAAAAAATGTTGAGACTAATAAAATTCTATTCTAAGCGTAAAATTTACTTTCCTATACTAAATGGACTAAATGCAAAAATGGAACCGTGTACATTGGTCTTCGAATTAATTTATCATTTTCACCGATAGATGTCGCTGACCAAAATAAATGCTAATACCTATTAATTTGTCGTCTTTTCATTTTTTCTCTATATTTTTTTAAACATTTTGTAATAATTATTAATAATATATAATATAAGATTTATTTTGTAGACTCAATTGAATTCGGGTATTAATTTATTTTAAGTGAATTTCTTGTGTAAATAAAGTAATAAACAAATAAAAAATATATAAATTAAAGAGATTGAAGACAATTAATGAATTTTTATTATGAACTCTGTCCTACTTTCTCCATAAAAAATTGTTGCGCGTAGTAGCATATATATAAAGAAATGAAAGTGAAGAAAGCGAATACAGAGTATTATGTAACGATATCAAAGATGGAAATTATGATTTCTGCTGAAAAGAACTCATAAAGAATTTTTTTTCTTTATATCTGTTTGCTCGTTTAGCAGAGACTTCAACCGACATGTTAAACAATAAGCAACCAGCAAACAGCAACCAAACATCTAAGCGAATGAATTTATTTCGTTGTTAGCGGTTTCCTCTTTTCGTAAAATAGAAATAGTTACAATAAATTGAATAATATGTCTGGTAGAAGGAGCAAAATAAACACAATATAAGAATATTCCAAAATTTGTGTAAAAGAAAAAACAAGAAATAGGAACGCGTGCGTTGATTACATGTAAGTATCGTTATTGTGAACGTCTCGCCTTACATGGCGGCATTATTATGGGATGCTTAGAAGAGCTCGCATTTATAAAACGGTGTGAGCTTTCATTTTTGAATTTATTTCATATTTCAAAATCTATTTTGACATAATTTTCAGCTCCCAGACATCTAGCATCTAACGTAGTAAGCAAAAAGAAAAGGGTGGTTCTTGGACAGTATGAACGTTAGTAGATGAATGAAAATAAATTTCCAAATTTTAGTAAACGTCCGAGGGTAATTTCAAATGGATACATCGATACTTATATTGTCTCCGGTTGTTACAAGCGGAAAAGCGAACTTGGCGCAGGCTTACACTTCAGAGATACGCATTATAATGAGACCTTGCAAACACTTTAAACACTGATTCGGCAAACTGGCCGGTTAAACCATTATGTCAGTGTTTTTATAAAAACATTTGCACAAAAGCAGAAAACGGAAGTGAACAATTTTTGTACATTATTCCTAATGGAAGCTTCCAATACAAGGGCTTTATTAAGTTTCTATCAGGCTTAAAGAAAGAGCTAAAGATCTGTAGAGCTTTCTTGAAAATAATGTTAATAACAATTATTATATTCGAAGGCGATTTACTGCTATATGATTGCAAAGCTCAGTCGCCTTCCGTTGCGCATCACACTTTGTCCCACATTGATATAACATGTGGTTGATCTATGGCTAAAATTCTTTGAAATTCATTATGTTGTTAAATATAAAATGCACAGTTGGATTTGACTTTTTGAAGATGAAGAAAAGTTTTGTTGCTAAGTTGTGCGTAGATGTCTTCATATTGCATTTTTTGCCGTATTTCGGAAGTTTTCGCGAATCACGAAAGAGTGAAAATATTTTTTCTTTATCTAAAGATCTTGCGACAACTCTTTAAAAAACAAAGTGATCTCACCTTTCTCGTAGCCTTTATGAACTTGCTAATGGCTTCATTCGGACAGTTGCGTATTTTATGGCTTTTGATTATCTTTTTATAATTCCGTCCTACCACTTGTGAGTTTGTATCGCCGGATTATGCAAACACACCATCAGTTCGAATTTCATCAACAAAGGTGCCTTTATTTACACAGTCGCATACACAAAAGTAGTTTCGAAAGAAAAAAGTGCCTTGTCATAATTAGCTCTATTCATAACACCTTAATTGAACTTCGCAGTTGAACCGACCAGCTATGTTCTTCCCTTTAGATAGATCATAGTAAAATGCCCGTTTTCAGGGCTTCGCTTTTTTTACGCAGGGACTTGTCATGCCATGTATTTTCCCCCAGTTACTTAAATATATTCTGATTGTTTATGTGTTTCGCTTTTTTCTTGCTTTAAACTCTATTTTTATTAGATCTTCTAAGAGTGTACCCACTAAGTTGTATAGTAATTGAAGACAAGCCATTATCTACACAAAAAGAAATGATGGTTCATTTTTTTGCAATTTCTATTTGCCAATAGCGATTTTTCAAGCGTGGGATGGCGAACATCTGTAAGTCAGTCAGTCAGTGTCTTTAAAGAGTCATTGATTATTCGCAGAAGATATGTTGTAGTTTTATTTGTTTTCCATATAAAAACTGTTGATCTGCACACATTTTTTCATTAATTGGTTCCCAATGAAATTATTCTCGCTCCAAATATCCTCTATGCCTGTTCGTTGATTCATAAAGATGAACAAATAAGACTTTTCAAAGACAAAGACAAATGTTTTGATCTATTTAGATAAATTGCTTACAGCATTATTTGCGAGCTTCGACTCGTTTCCAATCGGCGGCAAATTAATAAATTTACTTTCTCTTCTCCGCAAATATTCTTTTGATTCCTTTACAATTTTTAAATCGAAAATCCGATAAATTGATTTAAGTTATGTATACTTCTTTCAGATTTAGTCGCAGCAACTTTGCATTCCAACGACATTGAATACTTTTGCAGTTTTTTTGCCCGCTCGATATAATAAAGTGCAAGCAATCACTTATTTTGCTTTCTTCGTTCGTTTGAATATTTTTTGCATTTTAACATTTTCTAAAGTTTTAAACCTGGACTTAGATCGTCAACTGTAAGCACTAAAAAAAGCACTAAAAAATAATTAAATTGAAACATGGCAATTTACGCAGTAAGGGATAGAATCAATTAGCCACGCTTTGGCAACGGATTTCGCAGCCTACTGGTGTGATGTTCAGAGCAGTTAGTGCGTGCATTACCATATTAAACGTAAACAGTTTCTCCAGCCGCAAAGTTCACATTAAACAATCGATACAAAACAATTGTGCTACGAAAAAAGTTATTTTTCTTTATGGCAAAAGTAATTTGGGTTAGTTTATATGCAATACCAGATATTTTTCATAAAAAACGCAAATTTATTTATCAGATCTTTATTATAACTACCGCTGTCAGCTTAACATTGACTCTGGCATTTGCTAAAAATGTTACGATAATCAATGTAAAATCTTCGGAGTCTTATGTGCATCATACATTGAAAGATAACCCTATAGTAGTGCATACTCAGGCCCAGAATTACGAGCATCCAACTTTAAGCGAATACGAAGAATGTCATCGAAATTTGGACAATTGCAAGGAAGTTTGTAAAAATGCAGCGAATCAGACTGATTGCGAAGGCAAGTGCCCAGTGTGCCCGATTCTTATAGCTGAACAGATTTTAGTTCAGGGTGTCAACGATACGGATTACAGGGCGGCGCCTACGAAACCCTCGAATACCACAAATATAATTCGTGTGACTAACGAAATTCACAATATCATCGATAATCAGTTGGGTAATGTGACTCACAACAGTTTGAATAATATACATATACACCAAAATGTGTCACGGGTTGGTGGAAAGTTTGGTTTCGGTTTCAATCATACGCAGCCTTGTTGCTTGGTAGTTCGTTCATCGAAAAACTGCGACAAATCAAAGTTTTCAACAGCAGCACGTTGTCACCACAAGCGTCACAGGGTCTGTGGAGAGAAATGCAAAGCACGAGTTATGTTCGCCAAACGGGTGAAGGTTTGTGAAAGGAGTGTCGACGACGATGATAATGTAAGCGAAGAACATGAAAATTGTCATCAGGCGACTAAATATGTACCGTACCACAAAAGGACTCAGTCAAGGAAATTGAAATGTTTCTATCAACCACGTTGGCCATATGTCAGTTGTCCGAATAGGGGAAGCTCTACCAGAAGTAAGAGCTGTGAACGTTGTTACCGCTTACCTTATGGACGAATTTTGTTATATGGTGTACCCGCACAATGTATAAATTGTTTTCAACGTTACTCTTATAGTAGTGGCTTTGGTGCTAGTATGTATCCGTCCTACTATCCACCGATGATAGGTTCTTGGCCTATGATCATGAATGATAATTTTGGAGAATACGATGATGACGACGATTTTGAAGGAGTAGAAATTAAAGATGACGATTTGGTCGACGAGGAAACGAAATGCCGGCTGCCGGATGGGTCGCGCAGCGACGACTGTACTGAGATAGAGGGTAGTGGCGAAGACTTCGAAATAGACAACGATTTACGTTCTGGAAATAAACGCCCGATTAATGACTCGGCGGAAAAATTGACAGAACCTCATTTTACTCTACGCGGACATAGTTACACTTTTAATCGCTCAAAGTATAGCCGCCGGGGTTTGTGAAAAACCCGAATTATTTATTTCAAATTCAGTGTTAGTAAAAAAAATTTCATAACGATCAGGTGTTATTATTGAGCTATTATTTTTTTTGTTATTGCTTTTATTACTCTCTAAAGATATGCTAACTGATACTGATGCACAACTTCCAATAAAAATTAATAAAAAACGTAATTTTATTTTAAAATGTATCCTAGCGCAACTAATGGGAACTGAGACAAGAGTTAACGAAGTTAACTTAAATTTTTTGTCACAGAGAAGGTGCAACTGTGCACGTCATTTGCATTGGTTGCCTAATAGAAATCATTTGATGCCTAATTCTTTGAGTTCAGTTTCTTCGTCTACTGAGTCTTCGTCATCTGAACCGTGAACCGATGGTACAGGTGTAGTGTGCCCTAGAAATAAAATACTGGGTTATTTAAAATCTTCATACATTAGGTCTTCACTTACGTGACGACGAAGGGCTGGGTGGTTCGCTAAAAGGGCGGGAGAAATTTAAATTATTGCGCGAACCATACAGACAACTCTCATCTAAGTAGTCCCGATAAACAATTTGTAAAGCTTTAACTCGAGCCTGCCTATAGTACTGTAATGTTTCAGTGTAATATTTATGAAGTGAAAAAATTCAATATTTTTTTATATTCTATTTTAAACTTACAATACCAAGAGTACGCCAGTCTAGCAGATCACTCAAACGTTCGGTACGATTCCGCTGAATGATACGTTGACGGCGATTCAAACGTGAAAATTCTAACATGAAATTCGATAATTGCTGGACACTAGTCTCTAAACCAATATAACGTCGATCAACTATATAAATGCCGTAGGATTTCGGGTCGCTAATATGCTCTTGCATAAAACAACCAAAACCGGAAAGATTTGTTGTAATGCTTGGTATACCCATCACTGTGCATTCAGCCGGCGTATAACCCCACGGTTCGTAGTATGAAGGAAACACACCCAAATGACAACCGCGCACAAATTCTTCATAGTCAATGCCGAACAACGGGTTAGTAGAGGAAAGAAATTCTGGATGAAAAACCATTTTTACACGATCATGTATTGTATTAAACATTTGGCAGCGTCTTATGGCATTTAGAACGGGATCATTCCAATCATCAACCTATAAAAGAGAAGCATTAATTTGAAAATGACGTTGTGATCATTTGCTTACAATATTGTGTGTAGTAACAGGCGGCATCGTATCACGTTGCATAGCATACATGCAACGTTTGATTTTAACCATGTCCTCTTTGGTTAGCAATTCATTAGCTGTAGGCAAATGTCCTTTTAGACAAGAATCAAACATACGTTTGCCGATATCTTGCTGAACATTATTAATGGTATCCCGTAACTGCTTAACCACTGCATGGCCACGCAGGGATTCCACATTGAAGTTATTCGTTTTCGTGGGGAAAATCAGAAAAGCTACAACTGTGGCATCAGGTTTTTCATATTTAAGCAACGCATTGAGGCGAGCCAATGACTCTATAAATATGTCGGCACCTTTGTTGCCAAACTCGTAACGACCGGCGATGAAAAAGTACAAGGTTTTATCCAAATCGAAATCCATATGGCTGCCAAAAAACGACAACATTACAATATTTTCATAGAGATTTCTTTTTTATGGTATGTGTGTATATAAACGCATTTACCTACCCATAGAAATGACCTCGAACAAATTCATTAATTTTTTCCTTAGCCAAAGCATGCAAATTCTGGAATTCGTGTATAGCCGAAAATTTCTTCACATTTAAACCGTTGGGTGTAATAATATCCGGCTTACGTTTTAATAAGTGTTCTGCCTCATAGCCGGTAATTTCCGATACAGTTGTGAATACATGGCACAAATGAGTGGCGGCTCGTTCCAAACAGTAACGATGATATATTTGACGTTTTCCAGCCTCCTCGTCCACCACAAATTTGTCAAGATTGTTGTAGAAATCAGTGTTACCGGCACATAGGTAACGACCTAATAACGTGGCATGTGTTGTAAACACTGTAGCGACCTCAATATGGCGAGTGCGCAAAGCAATTAATCCTACACCGGCCTGCCATTCATGGAAGTGAGCAACGATGCGTGGATTTTGCAAGTCATGGATTTTTGAATACTCAATAGCACGGTTACGAAACTATCAAAGAAAAAGAAGTGATAAGCAAGGGGGCTGTTTCCCAATACGTATTGAAAGAGAACCTCTTCCAAAAATTCTGCTATCAAATAGCCTAGAATTATGGCATCGTTAGTTTCTACATCTAAGTGTGGCACACCTGTTGTAAGGAAAAACAATCGATAGAGGGGCAACGTAAACCTCATTATGCAGTATTTTATTTACCTATATGACATTTATCCCATAATTCTGATTTAAATTGATCCATTTTCCAGGCTCCCGAAGCAATATCAAATAATATTAATTGCGGATTACCATCAACTAGCCAACGTCCAGTATGGATTTTATAGCCACGTGAACGTAAATTATTTACGGCATCTAACAGTGGATTACCGCGTGGAAATTCAATCTCTTCCATTTCCGTGCGAGCACAATGCTCCTTGTACACGCCCATTAAACAAAGCTGCTCACCCATTTCTTCAGTAGAAACGTAAGCTTTAGACCGTATTACCGTGTAAATGCCACCAACTTTATTTGCCACTTCCCACGCTATTTCAAAAGACCAACGATTTTCTCGCGATGCTAAGCCTCCACGATCAAAATAATCCGTTAAATCTCCGCCTGGTTCTACTCGCGAAAAGCGTCGTAACATCTATTTGAAAAAGAAAAGAATTAAAAATATTACTTACTAATTATGTAATTTATTTGATTAATAGAACGCATAATTAAAATTACCCCGACTCTTATATTATATGCATAATGGCCATTGTCTTCTAAACGAAATGGTATTTGATGGCCTAACATAATTTTGAATGAGCGAGCGCTGGGTAGCGCGCCCGTCAAATTCTAAAGTTATTCTAATTATACAGCCATTAAATTTGATTCTTACTTCAGGCTGATAAACAACAAGAGATTTGTAAATAATAAAAATGAAGTAACGGTTTATCGATGCATGATGAATACAAGGCTACCGTTAAATAAATGAGAACTGATAACAGGCGGTTTAAATATTTTCAAACAACTTAAGAATTTCTAAATCAAAAAAAAAAATTGCTCTTCCAATTAAAAATAAACACAAGGTAGCAAAATTCAAACAAACGAACAATTTGAGCAAAAGCAAAGAGAGTAAAAATGTAAGTCCTTAGCTATCAAAAATGTCATCACATTATCGTTAACATACTTTCCTCTGAGATTTTTTCGCTTAAATGAAGCGCAGGCAACTGTTAGTTAATTGATTGGAAGAGTTGAAAAAAGCCATTTTCGATATCAGTTTAATCTGCACTTGCTACATTAAGCACCTACTGCGCTGGCATTGACGATGTTTTTGCCATACATTTTCGACAACATATTATATATACTTACATAGCATTCTGAGGCATTAAGGATTAACTTTTAATGATTCCTTGCTTGGAACGACAGAAAAAAATCGGTTTTAAATAAGATACCATTGCTTATAGATTATTCAAAATAACTAATCTTTGCTTAAAGACACTAACCCCTATCTCACCACCAATAGTATGGATGGAGTATCTCACCACCAATAGTATGGATGGAGTATACACCAATAGTATGGATGTGGCACAAAAAGCTGAAGATATGGTTTCACTGAAGATGCAACTTTATCACGATTTGTCTTGAATAGGTTTTGTGTGATTTTTTGCAATTGTGTTAGTGCTCCTTATATCATATTTATAGATTCATTTCCGTGAAGCTATCGTCATCAAATTTGGCAGAAACATTGAGGATTCTTGTACACAGATTGGTATTGAAAAAAGGCCAAATCGGTCTAGAGTGTCACGTAAACTGTGAACACGTCTGTTTTTCAAAAAGAGTTGTGATGAATTTACTCATAAATTTTCGAAGACGAAACTAAAAAAATTTAAACGTACATTTTATGGGCGATGCTATAATAACTGTACAAAACTATAAACTCTTGGTCACTTTTCAATTCGGCATGCACCCAAACATGCGCCGCAGCTGTGGTAAACATTGTCCCGTTTGCAGAAATGAAGATGTCACCTAAACATTTGCAAAAGAATTTAAAAATGACTCAAAGCGGATACGACCACAACGCCCGTAGGCCTATTCGACAAAAACTGTGAACATCTGTGAACATCTACGTATCTAGATATATTTCTACATATATTCAGAAAATAGAAAAAGACAGTCGCGCCCAACCAAAACTATATGGTATGAATATTTAGTTCTTTTCGCGTTTTTTACTCTTTTTTAGGATAACGGTAAGGGATATAAAAGAATATAACTTTCTTACTTGTTTGTAGTCCCAACCCTGCGATGGGGAGTATGGGGTATGGAGTCTATTTCACGAAACATTTGCGGTAGGCCCCATAAAAAATATATACATTTGGTCATCATCAAATTCTGAATCAACGTAAGCATGCCCATCAATCCATCTATTGTATATAAACATTCTCTTGGCCGCAAAAATTAAGGTATCGACTTCAAATTTGGCGAAAGTGAAGGGAAGTCTTTTCACGCAAGTGGGTATTTATAATGGCCCAATATTTGTAAAGGACAGGTCTACACAACAAGAACAAATCATCTAGAAAAAACGCAACAATAAAAACCTCTCGTTTCTATGGTACCTATTTCAAAAAGATAAAATTGACTACCTCGAGTTTTTTCGAGTTTTTTTTTAAGATAGGTGCAATAGCCGAATATAATTTTTTTAGCTGTTAAATTAGATCTTCATCAGCGCAACAAAATCCTTTATTTGAGTCAAACTCAACAGTTGTCCTAAACATATCTAACCCCGCTACTGATGATAGCATTTTCGGTCCATTATTTTTTTGCACTGTTTTTTAAGAAGATATTTAGAGACTGCTCCTCTTACAGTATTTTTTAAGATTGTTTACCATATGTTGTCTGTGGCGTTTTCCACTATTTTTTTTGCACAGTATTTTAAGGAATCTATCTACCGTGTAAAAAAAGAGCTTGGTGTATCTATTATACAACAATTATATAATCGATTTGTGCGATGTACGATCGAGATGTTGACTTTTATCTTATAATGAATGCCTTACGCAAAGTGGTAGTGGGCGTAGTAAATGCTATATATAAAAAGATTTAGCTCAAATCAGACATAAGCTTTTCCTTGTTTCACGGAAAAACTAAAGCTTATGAACAATCCTTTGCTTTACGTTCTGGGCGGGGTACGACACATGCTGGAAATTGAAGTTTATAAAAGTATTGGCGAGTTTCTTAAATATGTTGGCATTTAACCTAAAAACACGCGAAGGCGTGTGCGTTTGCATGTCACTCATTTCGGAACCGTTAAAATTCTATATCATTGGAATTTTATTGGACTCTTATCATAGCTTTCTTAATTCTTTTGGTTGTTAGTTGTGTAGCTTCCTGACGCTCGAAAGAGAAAAGATACAGAAGTATAGGGAAGAAAGAAAAAGAGAGTATTAAGTAACGAAGAAGTAAAACATGAGCTTAAATATCTCAGCGTTTCCTCGCAAAAAGAGTGTAATCAATGCGATTACGTGTTCGTTAGTGCGTGCCATTGAACTACACGCGTTAAAGAGGTGACTGGCCGCTTGTGTTTTTTTTTTTTTTTTTGATAAGAGACAAATATATATATATATTTACCATACACATAAATACGTCTCTTTAAGGGAAAATAACGTGGAATAACTTTAGAGAAAAGGAAAACAACAATAAACGCACTTTTATCTAGATACATTAGTATCTATATGTGTCCATATTTAAACGAATTTACAAATTAACCCTTTTCTATTTTCATAAAAGGAAGTGAGTTGAAAATACCTTTTTTGATTTGAACTATACGGCTGGTGTAAATTTTGTATTATTTTGTATTTTGTATTAGAATAGTTGATGCTTGTATGAAAGCATAAAAAATGTCTTACAATTTCTAAGAAGACACTTTAAATTATTGTTATTATAAGTATTTTCTTCGCTTGCTTAATACACATAACGCTGTACAAATAAATGTCAAATAGAGGTCAATGTGACTAGAGGATGAAAACTATGCTTGTCTTCACTGTTGAACGTTTAAATAAAGAAATACGGCAATCTTTTAGTCGTTTAGTTGTTGCATTTATTATTAACTGATTTTCTCTTTAGCATACACTCTTTTTTTTATTCAATATTTTTTTTTTTTTTTTTTATGTAACCCTTATAATACTTTCTCACACATTATATTTTTAAAGCATTGCACAAGATCACTATTTGTAGATATTTTGAATATCATTTGGTTTCAATTTTCTTAGTTATTTGCTATTTTACATGAGACCGCCTTCACCTAATATTTTTAAACGTTGACGTTACTAATTTTTGACGATTTTGGTTTATTTTATACAAGCGAATCTTATTTCCAAATAAAATTACTTCTCTCAATATTAATATTATTCTCGCGCATACACCGACAATCGGTAAGACAAGAGCTTAACTCGTAAGACAAATTTTCCAACACGTCCCGTACGTACGTTTGCTTTCGTTGTTTTGTTTGCCGGCATTTTTTGCTCTGTTTTTAATAACAAAGTTGTTTTGGATATCTGCTACTATTTTACTTCTATTTTGGATGAGAAGAGAGAAACTGTAAACGAGATTATAGAGAGCAAAACAAGGGAAATACTCTTCATGTCAGAGTGAATCTTTAATGCTCTTCACCTCAAATTTTTCTTCCTCTTCACATATTTTTATCTATAACTGAAGTATGGAGGTATATTTATTTTAGTCAAAACGCTTGTAGCAGCCAAAGTGAAGCTTCAGGACTCCTTTGAAGTATACATATTCTTAATCAGCATCCAATTTTGAATCAATCTAGGCATGTCCGTCTTTCTTACCGTAATTGCATATCCCAATAATGGAAAGCACTACGTTATCAAATGCTGTTTAAAATGTATTCCATATGTTTTACTCAAGGACTCAGCCATTGCTTATCTCCAAGTTTAGAAACTTATAGCTCCGATTATAAGCAAACTTTTAATTTTGCTATATACAAATAAAATATTTTTTTATTTTCACTGACTTGATTTTCACATCAATGCGTCGTGGATAGAAACTAAAAAATTTTTAAATAAATGGGTGGTATAGCGAATTCGAATAAAAAACGGATGCAATTGTTTACAAATCAATTGACTAGAATTTACTCTCTGGCTAAATTAATAATAATAATATAATGTTCTTGCGTGTTGTAAGATATGTTTCTGATCGCACTTTTTGCATCCGAGAACATTATATAAAATATTACATAACTTTATAAAAATATTATGCATTATAAAAAATTATAAATTATGGTACGCAACGTCTAATTAACAACATTTAAGCAACAAAATTAATACAATTTAGAATATATTATAGTACAGGATAGAATTTGGAATGTAGTACTTCTTAACATCCAATATAAACAAATGCTATGAAAGAGAACAAAAGAGCGAAAAAAGCTGAAATGAGCGAGACTACGCAATATGAACATATGTATACAATATACATATTACATGTATACAATATTGCAATGTATTGAATGAGAGACAATTAGATGAGAAGATAGTCCAACACTTCGTCCAAATTTAAAGTAGAATGCAAACGTTTCCCCTGTTACTTAGCCATATTTGCCGAGTCATTTTGAAAATTACAACTGTTTCCATATAACGAGTTTTTCGAATAAGACGTTATAAGGGGAGTAGTGGGAAAAGTAGGCCATTTTTAATAGCGTTCGTCCTTGGGCCAAGTACCTCTGTGCCCCAATTTCATCAAAATATCTCAAAAGTTACTACATTTTAATTTTAACAAAGTTAACAGTTTTCAGTTTCAAAGCGGGCAGATTTTTGCTTACAATATTTTTAGGCTCAAAGTATTAGCAAAGCGAAATCAAGCCTCTGTTATCCTTAAATATCCCACACCATAACTTCCCAGGCCATAAACGCCCCAGACCATGTATTTCGCATGGCAGTCATATTATTGTTAAGAAATTGCCTATTTTTAGGATGTATTGAAAATTTTTAAAGGGTCTCAAACATATATGTACATGATAAAAAACTTCCGTTTTTCATAAGAGAAATCACTGGTGTCGAGCAGATAGATGCGAGATGTTTTCAGAGAAAAGGTGTGACTTTTCATTTCTCTCGAAAGGTATTTATTCATCAATCTCTGTTTTGGCTGCTTCAAACTAATCTCCCTTACACTTGTGCAGCCCTTTTTCTAATCCTTAAAGCACTTTTTTTCGTCATATCGGTGTCGCACTCCAAGTGCTTCTATGTGATCATCATATTCTCCCTAAGGATTTCCGCTCACTTAGCATTCTTACTGATTTGTCGAAGGTGCTTGAACGGTTAATGGCCGATCAGGTTACACGGAAAATTGACAATAAATGGCAATGCTTGGTCATGAGCTCTGTCAAAAAGGCAAAGCAGTAGAGGAATTTTTTGTTAAAAAGGCAAAGCAGTAGCGGAATAATCTGTTAAAAAGGCAAAGCATTAATAAACTGTTAAATTGCAAAGTTGCCGGCATTAATATATATATATCTATAATATATATATCTGTTAATCTATAATATCTATATCTGTCTATCTATAATATATATATATATATATATAATATATATATCTGTTAAATTAAAACAATGTAAAAAGACAAAAAAAAAAAAATTAAAAAACTCTGTTAACATGACAATTGGGCAACCAAATGGTTATGTTTATAAATTAAGCGTGAAACGAGACGCAACCTAGATGTGTTTAGTGTTTTGGAAAATACGCGAATTAAACTTATTTAATTTTACAAGTTAGCCTAAGAGAGACCGCCATAATATTTTTTTTATTATCAAATTAAACAAAGCAGTAGTTATATTCCCCGCTATTTGCAAAACCAATGTAAACTTCTATGTTAATATTTCAAAGCCGTCGGCTTATTTCCCCATAAGTAGTAACTAAAGAAATACGTTTTCTAACACTACCTAACATAACAGCTGTCCTATGTTGACATTATTGGATATCTCCGCTAAAATAAAATAACATTATTTCATCCTTTAAAGCATTGTAGTAAACATTAAAAGCTGCTTACGAAGTCTTGTCCGATCCTGATAAAGATATTTAGAACAATTTGGAAATTTTTAATTTTGCAATGCCGACGCCAAATCGCATTTTGCAATGAATTTTAACAGAATATGAGCAACTCAAAGCTGGCGGCTTTGCAAATTAAACTTGTTAGTTGAGCACTCAACCATTTTTGGAAATTTTTTTATTTATTATAAGCGACTCTGTGCCTTGCCGTTCAACAGGGAATTTAGCGAGGACTTTGTTTAAAAATTATGATGGTTTAATTCTAAGCTAACTTGTAAAATAAAAGAAATTTAGAAATTTTATAATCGCGAATTTATTTTCAAACATAGAAGTGTACCTAAAGAATTTTCAAATTTAACTGGTACGAACTTAATTCAGCTGTTAATCTGAAAAAGACTTTGTAGAATCGAAAGGCAGTTTACGTTACAATTTAATATTTTGTTTACTAGCTTGTATCTAAAGGAATACCAAATTTTGTAGCGTGAATTTTAAAGCATTATATAGCATTACAGTTTGTGAAATACTACAGCGTTTGAAGGTGTAAGTAATACTGAGAATTGGAAAAACCGAAGACCCTAAAATAACAAACTAAGCGGGAAGAGTACGATGTTAATCTGCATCCATCAGGACGAGGCCTTCACACTAACATGATTTAGTGCTTAAAAATGCGTAAAATACTAATGAGTTTTTTCGTCAATATAAAGTAATCAATTTTCATAATTATTTCTTTTTAGTTCGTATTCAACTAAAACATTTCGCATTTGCAACAAAGTCACTACCACCCTCGCTTGGAATTTGACTCATCTTAAATGCAAAAATTTATCTGAATATCCTCAAATGGATAGCTAATTACAACAGCAATTTGCCTAACCATGTCTTCGAGCTGCATATCTGCTAAAATTTAACAACTTTTGCCTAGAAAATGACTTCTTAATATATGCCAAACACTGTTCGATAAATTCTGGGACATTCAGTCTAGTAATCGGTAGTCATTTATCCAGAGATACTCCTAGGCAAATACGAAGGGTTGGAAGAACTGTCTTCCACCTTTATTGCCAACTTTGCTGTCAGATTGCTAAATCCAGATCACTAAAAAATCATTATCTTCTCCAATAGCAAATTGGCGTTGATGCTAATCAAACACAAAGACACATTACGGGTCTCTATGTTATTTTAAGCGCTTCTAAGCTTGAAGAAAGCCACTTGATGTGCATGCCAGGGCACTGTGGAAAGCAATACGGTCTTGTTCATATTTTTGTTTGTCTTTTCAGTTACTCTATATAAACTTACGACGATCCACTTACTTACTTGCTGCGCAAAATTCTTTGATAAAAAAAGTTACGTTCGATTGAAATGAAATATTAAAGGCCTGCAAGTATAAAACGAGTGAACTTTCATTCACTTTCATATAAATTGATATATTGGGTATATTGATATATTGAATTGATATATCAAAAATTCTACCAATTCCAAAAGGGATGTTTCATCAAATAAGAATATATATATTTTTCGTAACAGCTGAAAGATTTTGCAGGCAAATTTGTTTGCAAGTGCTTCTTCTGGCAAAACTTAAATTATTTTTTTTATTGAAACGTAAACTATTTCTGATCACGTTACACGCGTACGCGAATTCGAATGAAAAACAGATAAAATTATTTTATTTATTATTTACAAATCAACTTAATCAAAATTTAGCGAATTAAAAGCGAATTAAAAGCGACATGGAATGAAATGGAATAATTGAAATAAAATGAAAGCTAGCAATTTCACACGTTTTAACATCGAACATATGATTAACACAACACGAATAATAATAATTTAATAATTTTTATAGGCGTGGCATTCGATTTTAGCCTATTTTCAAAAAAAAAATGATAATTCTTTCCATATATAACTTATACAAGTGCTTGAAATA